CAGGAATCAGCGTTTTATTTATATTATTCATAATGGCGAAAGAAGAGGGTGAATGATTTGTTGGCAAATTATGAAATACTTGTTTTTTCTGATATTTTACCTGTTCTAAAACAGCATGCTAAGAGACGGTTAACGACTGATGTGAATTTTAGTTTTATTGTTATTTATACAGGAAAATGTGTGTTTTTAAGCCGTGATTCAGGACGAAATAATGGGCTAAGAACGGTGACTGTTACTGGGCATATTTTTATATATTTTTAGGTGTCTGTTATATTTCAGACAAGAGAAAAAATGTTTTGTTAACGTAAGATGTGCCATATATGGCACAAATGCCTATTTTTTTTAGAGAGTAGAGCAAGACGGATGAGGATGTGAAAGATGCATGCTGTCGCACTCTTGTATATTCATTCCTGTGGAAGTGATAAGGTTTGCTAAATGTCAGATGCTTTTTTTTTGTTCCCTAGAAGACGATAAACAAGAGGAAAATAAAATAAGTAGATAATATGAGAGTCTCAAATAGTAAGAAAAGAAAGTCCTCTATTTCTCGCAATAAATTATGGTATATTAGACATATTTGCTATCTATCTGTTCCATGGTCATTTTGTCTTATCCTTTTTGCTCGTTAGAAAAAGATGAAACTAATAATCTGTTTTCCAATGTTCCATATGAAGACAGGATGTTAGGTAGTAAAAACGAGATCGTTAAACAGTAGGAATAGAGACAATATCAAAGAAGAAACCGGTAAGAGATTAACAGCTTTTTAGATTATTTTTTTGTAAGCAATAACATTGTGAGACATTTAGGACTTCACGAGCATGACGGCGTCTTTGTAAATTTATTTTTCTGTTTAGTGTCTATTTTTAGAACAAACATTACTGAGATAGAAAGCGACTCTTAGGAAAAGAAATCTGCGTCCGCTTTGCTGTTGTTCTTCGATCATAAAATACTATCAAAGTTCAGGTGCTTGTCTATGAAAAATGTAGGGTCGGTAAGTAAGGGGCGTCAAGAATAAAAAGCCAATAGTAGTCAACCTGCTCACATGTCGGACCGATGCCAGTTGTGGGTACAGTACACCGTTGATTCTTTTTTTCGAAGTAAAGATTGTGTACGGCGAAATCGCATACAATAGGTGAACATGTAAGTGAATATGTGTCATTCCGCGCAGTTCAGAATTTATTTATACGTATATTTCTGGACAAAACCAGTTGCCAGTGGCGGATTTAGGGTGCTGGCGGGCGCCAGCACCAATATTTTTGATTTCATACTATTATACTCTCCTTCCTGTGCAACATAGTAATAAAGGAAAATAAGTAAAAATCGTGTCGTCTAGAAACTCCTAAGCAAAGTTGCTCTTTTGTCCAAATCCACCAGAACCGAAAAATCTTTCTGGATCCGCTACTGGTAGCTGCCTCCCCCCCTGAAGTGATACTGGTTTTTACGATATTGAGCTATATTTTGGGCGATATTTTTGATGCGTGTAAACAACAACAAACCCTTATCGCAAGCCCCAGCCCGCCGTTGATCGGTTGACATACACAGGAGTTCTGAATCGAACACTATCTCCACCTTGTGACGACCATATCTCAACTATTTTCGCACTTCTGTTTTCGAGCAATTCTGCATTCAAGAACCAAATGTCGCAGCTATCCAGTAAAACTTTCGTAAGAAATCGCTTTGAAACAACTCAGATATGATCTTCTCATTGGAAACTTTTGCTGGGCAGCAAAGCCTACTATTCAGCCACGCGCATCTACCTCGGGTTGGCTTTGACCAATTGATAGATTTTTACCGCCATTATTACAATCGAATTGCATACTTTTCAGAAAGTCTATTTCAGATTCTGAACTAAACTTCACAAACAACGATGACTTGTATTGTGGTTTTTTTGTCCCAGGGCAAACATTGTTTGTTATTTGTAATAAAATACATTGTCTCTTCTCTAACAATCAAGGTACTCGAGTGAATTAGAAAATGAAATTCAATATGTACGTTTGCGAGCTCGTTAGCTTTTTTTTCCTGCTCTTCTCTCGATAAGAACGAGTGGCATGTGAATTCGGAGCTCGATGGTAGGTAATGAATAAGAGATACGTCCTAGTAGCCATCAGTAACACATACACTCATTATAAATCGCCTTTCTTTCAGATCTCTTGCACATATATTTTCATCTACCGCAATGGCGATTATTGTCCTCCTCTCCGTCACATTACTGGCGTTTAACATTGTTGTTTCCGTTCATTCAATCGGAACTAACCGTACCTATCTTATCAAGAAAGATTTTCTCAGCGGTCTCAAAGGAGGTGAATTTACTATCTATGATAGTACGGGAAAGCAGCAACAATATCGTATGGAATCGAAGTTCGGCATAACACACGACGTTCGATTGTTCGCTGGTAAGTCGAAGAAGGAAGTTCTGGCCAGGTTGAAAGCCAAAGTGACAGCGGTCATGTACAAAGCGACTATTACTATTCTTGATGCGAATTCTAATCAATGGAAAAATGGCACTATTACACAGAACTTTAAAATAGTAGGTAATAAATTTATGATTGAGTATGGCGGACGACAGATATCAATGGAAGGCAAAGCCTTTTCGTTGGACACGGCATTTCGTGATCAATCGGGCGGAAATATATTGGCTCAGTTTCGAAAACGAATCAGTTCATTGTTCTGGAGAAACAAGTACGATTTGCAAGTGATATCCGATAGATTACCCGATGCGATCTACTTTTTGGGAGTAGCAGCCAGAGATCACAGTAACGCGAAGATTCATCGAGGTTAATAATTGATTATTTTCCAGAAGTAGATTGATCGATTACTATTAATTATCCGATACAAATAATTATGACATAATCTATCCTTTTTGGTACATCAATAAACTAAAACAGAACAATATTTGTAAGCATGAATGAACTATTAGAATAGCTATATGCATGAGAAGGAGATGCTTTTATGTTCTTGTATCTTTTGTTTGAATTAGCAGCATTATATCCATTCCCCTCTAATTCTTAAGTTGATGATAGGTTGATCCAACAAAGATCAATTATGCACTGAGCGATATGGCATTGTCTATATTACAATCACGAGTCTTTGCGCATCGGTTGGTTCTCTGTCATTCAAAAAGTATTTCAGACTATATGTCCGAAAAGATTTCAGAGCAGAATAAATGGTTTTCGGTATTAAGAATCAACAAGCTGCCACCTGCATATCCATTGATTATTGTCGTTTTATTCCCTCATATCTTCAAAGGTACTTTGACAAGTCACTGACACGTCATCAAATTTGGCACTTTTCTTCGATGGGGACATTCATTGAGTACTGTCAAAATGGTGATGAACTGTTACAATTCTTAATAAAAGAAAAATAGGACATTTTTGTCTTTTTTCATTCCATAGCAGTTGCCGCAGTCGTCTTTCCATGTCTTTCTCTCTGTTTAATTGATTTGACTTCGATTGTTGATCACTTGTCTCATGCTTTCATTTCTGTTTTAGTTGCATTTCAGTCTTTTGTTTCTTACATTTTCATTTGTACGAGTATGCATGCCTACTTTTGATATCGACTGGACGGAAAGATGAGTCGATAATGGTTTATAGGAGACAATGTTTCCTTCCATTCAGTTCAATATTGAAATTCGCGATCTTCAGGATTTTTCCGCTGATTTTGTTGTGAGATAACAATGCAGCTCTTTGAAAATTGAAAGTAATTACAGAGAGCAAGAAGTATCGATCAGAGATGAGAACTGAACTGAACTGAACTGAACTGAATTTTTATTTTTGCAAGCATGGTTGTTGCAAAGAAAGGCTAGCTTATGCTAATGCAACGACACAGTAGAAATCAGCAAAAGCTTTGATTTCAAGCTATTAAGTTCTTTGGAAGAATCCTAGTAAGATTATATCGTCTTTCAAAGCAAAGTTTAAAGAATCTTCGATCAAAACTAATCTGTTTCGTCGGCCGAAGTCTGCTCTGTCAACGCTATGTAATCGGAAATTTTTTGTCTCGTCACGAGTCTCCTGATGAGACGAAACAGAAAAGTCAATGCTGAACCAGATAAAATAACCCTTTGAACTAGTTTCCGAAGTTTACCGTGGTATTTTACTATAAAATGGAAGCGCATGGATGCCCTTGCCACCGACGCGATATTAATTCAACTATTGCATATCTCCAGTTACCTTCTTCCTTATCATTACGCGCGCAGGCTTCTAAATAATAATTGCATTGATTCATGAGGGCAATCTATCTGTTTTAGAGTTTTCAACACAATATACCGCTTAAAATAGTATTTAAACCTTTAAACGTTGTTTTCATTCTTTTACATTTTTGAGTAGACTCATTTAGCTAAAGAACACACTATCAGTCATACGGACATAATTTTACTTTATAAACTTCAGTAATGCATTTTTCTCATTTGACTCGAGCAAGAAACCTTTCGACGAACTTTTATCTCTTTATTCCTTCATTTGGCGCAATGTACATTGAACATCTTCCGATAAGCGACAATGCGAATAGTACACT